ATACATACATACATACATACATACATACATACATACATACATACATAAATGCCTCTCCCCCCTCCCTTTGGAGTCTGTATAATAGGCACAGATCTCCTTTTCCTCTGAAGGAGCAAAGAAGCGCTAGGTGATGGTTAAGAAAGAAACAACCCATCCAGTGCTTCAGATTCTTAAACAAAGCACCTTTTACCCTCGTTTTGAGCAATTTGCACAATTTGTACAATGGGCAAACTGTAAAACTTTCCACAGCAATGGCTGGTTTTGCACAAAACATTGTTTTCACCAATGCTCCAGCTCCACTGAGTTGCAAACACTATTCAATTCCTTCCTCTCCTCACTGTCCGGACAGCGGTGGAAGAGAACTGTGCTACAGTTCCACAGCTTCCCTTGCCAGTGGTTTCCTGACCTGCCCCTGGAAGCTGGCAGACCCACAAAAGTGGGCCAATGTTACCAGATTATTTATGAATTAGGATCGGAAAGACATTTGTTGGGATTCCAGCATGAAAGGGAGGACCTGGACAGGGTTGGCTTGCCTGCCTTTGACCCAGCCGTTGTCAGGTGCATGATGCTCTCTCCTCTTGCATCTGCCAGGGCAAAAGAGAGAGAGAGAGAGAGGGTGAGAAAAGGTCTCCTCCCCCTCCGTGCTACAGAGATCTTAAAGGCAAAGCTCTCTGCCTCTAATGGTGATTTGTTAATCTTCATTTCTGGTTTTTCTCGTATATTATGTATAACATAAACCACCCAGAGTAGTGCCTTGGCACTAATGTGAGCAATTTATAAATTGAATGAATGAATGAATGAATGAATGAATGAATGAATGAATGAATGAATGAATGAATGAATGAAGCAGCCTCCGTGACGCTGGGAAGCAAGAGCCTGGCCACCACCATTCAACAAATCCGACCCCTTTCTAGCCTTCGTCAGGAGACTGATCCTTTTTTGGGGGCCTTGGTTTCAGGTTCTACCTGCGCTGCATTATATGGAATGCCAAGGACGTCATCCTGGATGACCTCAGCATCACGGGGGAGAAGATGAGCGACATCTACGTGAAAGGGTGAGCGATCCCTGTGGCTTCTTCGCAGGAGAAGGTTCTAGAAAGGAACACAAGCCATGCAGCTCCCTCTTCGTCAGGGCCCAAATAAGCTCTTCCCTTGTCCAAAGAAGCCCCTGCCGTCCTGCACAGTTCTGACCGCGACGTGCCTGCTCCAGACCCGTTCCATGTCAGGTCCCCCATACAACGGCAGGCATGGCTGGAGGTCTGCCATCCAGAGCCACTAAAGGCCATTTCTGTTGCAGGTGGCTGGTCGGCTACGAGGAGAACAAGCAGAAGACGGACGTGCATTACAGGTCCATGGGAGGCGAAGGGAACTTCAACTGGAGATTCATCTTCCCCTTGGACTACCTTCCTGCTGAGCAGGTCTGCTACGTGGCCAAGAAGGTGAGCGCAGGCCATGGGGCCACGGGAGAGGCACAGGATGGGTTGCTCCCCAGCTGTTTCCTGTCTCTGCTGGAGAGGCTTGGCCCACCTGTGGGGAGAAGGGGTGGGTCTGGGTGGGTCTTCCCACCCAACCCCCATGGCAGCCGGGTGTCCCAATTCACGGAGCTCTGCGCACGCTCTGCTGGAAACAACCAGGGTAAAATTCTTAGGAGTACAGGGTTTGATGGCTTGCCCTGTTCTGCCTCTTTGGGGCAACTTTTCCAAGGTCTCTTCCCTTTGACGGGCCAAGGGTGCACAAGGGTTTTAGCCTCTGAGGGCAAGACATAGGCCCGTGCACGTAAATGTGCGCACTTGCTTTCCTCCTCCGAAGAGGAAAGCGAAAGGGTCCTTCTGTCATTCTTCCTGTTCCAGCTCTCTCCTTTCGGCTTTAATTATGGGATGTGTCTAGTGTCTGCTTCTTGTCTCAGAGTCCAGGAATCTTGCATAGCTTGGAAATGTTCCCCATTGACTCAAGACAGCCGCCTAGAGTGGTTCTCACCCAACCAGATAGGCGGGATATAAATAAAAAAATTTAAAAAAATAAGAGACTTTGGAGAATTTAGTGGGCCATTTTACATCACTGAGAGCCAGGGTGGTGTCGTGGACGGTGTGCCTGCCTAGGTTCAAATTTATTATTTATTTATTTATTTATTGGACTTATATACCGCCCCATAGCGCTACAAGCCTCTGCTCCTGACCTGAGTTTGATCCCAGGGGGGTTCAGGTAGCCAGCTCAAGGTTGGCTCAGCGTGCCATCCTTGCACGGTTGGTAAAAGGAGTGCCCAGATCTCGGGTGGGGGGGGGAGGGAAGAAGCAACATGTTCCTTGCAAAAATATGTCATGAACTGCCCAGAGTGTGCTCTAGCACTATGAGGTGATATACAAGTCGAAACAACAATAACAATGATAACTTTCCAAAGGCTCCCCTTAACGAGGTGCCCCGCGGTGCTGATATTGGTTCCTCTCTTCCCTCCCTGGCCACGTGTCTGCCGGAGCTGGTTCAGAGAATAAACAGCTTGTAAAAGGCCCTTGCAAAAGGAGGAATAATGAAGGCGAGGCTGGGCTCTGGACCTGGCAGGCGCATTCCTCCCGGGCGGGTTTTGATCTTGCCATGTGCTGTTTGAAGCCTGAGTTCATTATTTGCTG